TGGGTTTATAGGTTATAGGGTTTAGGGTTAGGGGTTAGGGTTTAGGGAGTTAGGGGTTAGGGTTTAGGGGTTTAGGGGTTTAGGGTTTAGGGCACTAGCCCAAACTTGCAGCCCACTTGACCGCGTCCCACCCACCCATGACCCAAAACATATTGATCTCGATGCGGTATCAACACGCGACTCGCAAAACGACGACGAGGACGACACCGATGACGACGACGTTGATATTGTTGTCAAAACGACGACGACGCGGCCGCGCAAAGACACCCGGGACGCGGCTGCAACGGCGATGCGGCCCGCGCGCGTGCTTGACGACGCGATTTGAAGAACCACGTTTTTTGACGCGAGTCCTTGTGCGATGCAGGGACGCCGCCCAGCGGCGGAGAGGTTGCACGCAAGATCCACGTTTATTGACGCGAGTCCCTGTGCGACGCAGGGCCCCCCGCGGTCGCCGTGGGCGCACCGCCCAGCTGGCCCGCGGCCGCCTGCGCCGCCGAAGGGTCGGCGCGCCACCCCGCGTCCGCCGGGCCGCCCTCGCGCGAGCTCGCAGAGGGGGGGCCGCAGCGCCCGCGGCCGCCTCGCCCGCCGCGGGGGCGCCCGGCGCCATTCCTGGCGCTCCGAGGCCAGGGATCTGCGTGAGGGGCGCACCCTGGGATTTGAAGATCCTCCCAGAACGCCATTCCTGGCGCTCCGAGGGCAAGGATCTGCGTGAGGGGTGCGCCAAAATGGGGGGGGGGGCGGCCGAAGGAGGGACTTAAGGGCTTTTAGGATTTAAATCCTTATAGGCTCTTAGTTTTTAGGGGTTTAGGGGTTTAGGGGTTTGGGGGTTTAGGCGCTGTGCCCGTCGAAGAAGACACAATTCAGCATAGACCTTTGTAGGTCCGCGCCGGTACCCTCGGTCGGCGCTGGACCCCCCCCTCCCTGGCGCGCGGAGCGCGCCGGGGGCGGCTCGGGAGTCTCCGCCACGGGGTGTCCAGCTCGATGATCCTCAGACCGTGTGATCGCCCAAAGTGTGTGTTTGCCCCGTTCGGCTCCGCCCATAGCACGCAGCTTGTGTCGGCCCTTGTCGCACAGCCTGCGTCGTACTAAAGGGCTTCGGTGGACAAGCACACGTTGGCGCCATCGCACGCGTTCCGCGGAACACCCGCCAGCGCCGGCGAGAAAGCCGTGGGACCCTCGGGAAGTTTATGGTTCAACTCTCGCTGGTGGTAGCGGCAGGGGCACGCTCGGGGGGGAGAGGCTCAGAGGGGGGGGAGCCATCGACCCCCAATCGCCTTCTCATCGCCGACAGTCAGGCGATCGCAGACATTGATCAAAGGGGGCGTGGAGAAAACGACGGGTCCCGTTTCCATGGGACATCGGAGATTCCCGCCGCCGAGCGAGGCGGCACCGGCCGCACTTTCCCCGATCCATGGATGAGTCGCCCGCGCGCAAAATACATGGATCGCTAATCCATGTTGGCGTGGCCCCGACACTCGTCGCCGACAAGGGCCCGACCATCACCTCAAGCTCTCTTTGGTGGTACCGTGGGCGGTTTGAATCGGGAACAGTTGCCTTTCAAGAGGGGCTCAGTCGTTCCTCAGACTTGCATGCGTGATTGGTCGTTCTTGATGCATTATTCATTATCTGCCGTTCCTTCTTCGTTATTCCTTGGAGAATATAAGGGGCTTCGTTCCTTATTCATCGTTCCGTACGTCAGGCCGATGACTGCAGTGGTTTGACTGCAGATCCCACGGCCCCGGCAGGAGCGAGCGGACGGGCGTGAGCATCTTCGGCGTCCTGGCTCCCAAGAAGGCGGGGGCGGCGCCAGATGGCGCGCCGGCGGCGGCGCCGCATCCGCTGCTGGCGCCGTCCTACGTGAGCAAGGCGGTCGGGGGGCTCGCGCTTCCTGCCGGACCCGAGCATATACACCACCATCACGTTGATGCCTCCTCCCTCCTCTACCCTTCTCTTCCTCTCTTCTTTCCTTGGAGAGGGAGGGGGTGAGGGAGGTGGTGGTGGTGGTGTATATTTCTGGTCCCCGTACTTACTGTAGTGAAAGTAAGGCTTGCGTGAAATTAGGAGAGATGACAGCGTTGAACTGGCCGGAGCGCTCACATACGCGCCAGGGCACGGTCCCTCCAGAAACGGAACGATGACGCCGTGGCGCCGAGTATTGGAAACAAGGCTGGAGAATACTGGTAGCAGTGCCGTGTGAACATGATGCAATATTGGACGGGGGTTACCATCGCATTCCACATCCTCGTCCTCATCCTCATCCCTCCTCCCTCATTCTCTTCCACCTCCTCCTCCTCCTCCGACACCTCCTTCTCCTCGTCCTCCTCCTCCTCCTTCTCCTATTCTTCCTCCCATCCTCATCATCAGCAGCATCATCATGATCATCATCCTCAGCAGCAGCGCCATCATCACAACCACCATCATCATCATCATCATCATCATTATCATCATCATCATCATCATCATCATCATCATCATTATCATCATCATCATCAGCAGCATCAGCATCAGCATCAGCATCAGCATCAGCATCATGATCACCAACCTCATCATCATCATCATCATCATCATCATCATCATCATCACCCTCATCATCATCATCATCATCATCATCCTCATCCTCATCCTTGTCCTCGTCCTCATCCTCATCCTCATCCTCATCATCACCGTCATCATCATCCTCCTGAGCATCATCAGCATCACCATAACCATCGTCCTACTTCGACGATGGAGACGAGTCATACTTATACAACGAAGAAGCAGAAGAGTCATTCGATCACTGCGTGCCAGACCACCCCAGTCCAACCCGCAGGTCCCAGACCCCGCCCACACATTTCGGGTTGGGGGGTGCACAGCCATCGTGCTTGCTCGAAGCTCCAGAACGTCCGCCAACTTCGGGTGGGTAGTCATTCGAAGAGTTTTGTGATAGTAGCGATCAGGAAGTTATATGGTCACCACTTCGGAAGGTCCGCGCGGATTTCTTGGAGCTGCCCTGGGGCGCGCTCCGCGCGCCAGGGAGGGGGGTCCAGCGCCGATCCAAGGACTCCGCGCGGACCCTCGAAAGTTTCTGTTTCACTATGCAGGCTGTCCGATTCAGAGATCTTTCTCTTGGCAGTCGTGGAGCCCTCTTCCAGCACTCCGTCGGGCGTTGGCAGAACTGGGTTCAGTGTGACCTGGTTTAGTGATGTGGACTGGGGGACGCCCCTCCCGCCCCGTTCCACTCATCTGGAACTTCCGCCACCCGAAAAAACACCAGCTACGGTAGGCCTGGTTTAATGAATCTGGCCAATTTAGGGGCTCCGGGGCCCTGGGGTCCGTTCACAGTCAACCCGCATAGTAAGGATGGGCAACCTTCCGAAGGGTACCCTTGCATCCTTGCCTCCTCGGTCCATCCTTCGCCGCTTTCGCTGGCCGCGCCCCTCTCGGAAAGCTTCGAAATGGGCGTCCAAGGCCCTTGCATCCTTATCGCGCGTCCTTACTATACTGGTTGACTGTACCTGGGTCCTGGCTATACCCGACTCTGGCTTCTGGGGCCCGCTGGCGGGCCCTGGGGCATCAGCAGCGGGCCCGAAGCGAACGGCCGAATCCCTCCCAGGGGGAGGGGTCGGCCACGGCCCACGGAACCACCCCAGCCCAACCCGAAGGCCCTATTCGGCGCCCTCCTTTCCCAGTGAGGGGTGGCGGCGTCTCCTCCACAATTACTCAATATGAAAATACTGTCCCTCTTCCCCTGATGGCGTCCAGGTGATGGCCGCGCACCCTCCGCGTACTGTTTTTTTACACAGGATGCCCAGGAAATCCCGGGAAACGACTCTCGCTGAGGCGCCGGCGTCATTTTTTCCCAAAATGCTGCTCTCGTTGAGGCGCCGGCCTCATTTCTGATCCCGAATCGTTCCGAATCGTGCTCCCGCTGCAGCGTGGGCCTCATTTTCGGATCGGTGTTTGGCCTCCGTCGTTCAGGATGGCGTTCTCGCCCCAGCGCGGGCCTCTTTCTCGCGCGCCCATCCGCCCGCCACCACCGCGCCGCACCGCCACCACCACCACCACCACCACCACCACCACCACAACCACCACACCACCACCACACCACCACCACCACCACCACCACCACCACCACCACCACCACACCACCACCACCACCACCACCACCACCACCACCACCACCACCACCACCACCACCACCACCACTCCACACCATACCACCATCACCACCACCACCACCACACCACCACAACCACCACACCACCACCAACACCACCACCACCACACCACCACCACCACCACCACCACGACAACCACTCACACACCCCGCACTCCTCACGTGCACCACCAACCCACTACGTCACGCTCGCGCGGAAGCCACCGGTCCGCTACGACACGCGTCCGCGGATTAGAGAAAAGCAGCGCCATGTGGAAGGGATGGGAGGGAGGGGTAGGACGTCAGATATGACGCCAGCGCACCTAGCTTGCCCTCCTCCCCCTCCCGCTCCTCCTCCTCCTCCTCCTCCTCCTCCTCCTCCTCCTGGGGAACATTGAGAAAACACGTGTGCAGCCCGTACCCCCCCCCCACCCAGTTTTTGGGTCTTCGGGTCGGGCTGAGGTGGTCCCCACTTTGTACCCTCCCTTCCCAGTGAGGGGGGGAGGCGTCGGGGAACATTGACAAAAACACGTGCGGAACTCGGTATTGTTCAACCGACCCCCATCCCCATCCCCATCCCCTTCGAGACCCCCACCAAACTACCCCCCAGTTGGGGATGCACCCCTCGAAGCCCGAAGGATACGGCCTATATCCCCATCCAGGGGGGAAAATCGGCCAGTGGGGCCCAGGCCACGCCGCTAGGGATGGGGATCAGTTAAATGATACTCAGGAACCCGTACCCCCCCAGCCCGATTTTGGGGTCTTCGTTTCGGGCTGAGGTGGTCCGGCAGGTACAGCAGAGGCCGGTGCCACAAGAAACACCCTGCGTGCCTCCAGGTTGCCCTGGGCATCCTGAGTTTAGATGGTCTTGCTGTGGAAAGCTTGAAAGCAATGGACGTCCTGGGGTGTCAGGGTTGGGTTTCTCGTGGAAGGTTTCTTTTGGACGAGCCTCCGCTGTAGTCAGTGACCTCGGAGCCGCGCGCTGACGGGTGTCTGGGTGCCCGTGCTGGTCAGGGCCCATCTTTGCGGGCCCAGGGCACGCCCTTCAAGGAGGGGCGCCCTGAGGCCTGGTATTGATTTGTTTTTGGTGTTGGTGTTTGTGCCTTTGTTTTCAATCTGTTTCTTCGGTTGCTTGTTTCTGTGTGTTTGTTTGCTTGTTTGTTTGTTTGTTTGTTTGTTTGTTTGTTTGTTTGTTTGTGTTTTCGTCTGTTTGTCTGTTTGGTTGTGTGTTTGTGCGTTTGTTTGTGTGTTTGTGTGCTCGTGTGCTTGCTTGCGTGTTTGCTTGTGTGCTTATGCGCTTGTTTGTGTGTTTGTGTGTTTGTTAGCTTGTGTGTTTGTTTGCTTGCTTGTTTCTTGGTCTGTGTTGGCTGCCTGTATCGTGTTTCGTTTGTTTTGTCTGTTCGTTTGTTCTGCTGCACCGGGCGCCTTTCGCCTGGGACGGTGGAGGGGCCGCGGGGCCCCTCGCGGATCGACCCGGCTCGAGGAGTTGCCGCAGCGAGACGGAGGGGCCCGAGGGCCTTGTCGGCGCGACCTCCTCGCGACGCTGCAATCAGGGGCAACGTGCCGGTATCGTTTCACAGACCCCCATCCCCATCCCCCTGCTCCT